CCCTCCGTATTTCCTCGGTTTCTCCCGGTCAAATACCCCCTCATGCTAGCAGTGTAGGCGTATTCCTAACCCTATTACATGTATAGATACGTCTGTAGGCCTTGAATGGACCGCCATGCTCGTGTCCAAGCCCAACTCTACACGCGCAACCGCAGTTGTCCGTTCTGAACAGCAACCTTGTCATCGGCTTCTCTTGAACTCGTCCATTCTCATGATGCCAGGCTTCTTCGTGACGGGCCAGGCTGGACGAGACGAGACACGTCTACTAACGCTGATGAGTCTGATGCCGGGGTTTTCTATGCCCACGAGCAGACGCCTTGAGTGAACTGCCGTACCCTCAGGCCGCCCTTGTGACTGTACCAAGAGAGCACGAACTATGACAACCCCGAGCGTTTCGAGCGTCTGGCACTCGTGCGCAGTCTGAACTCATAGTTAATGCTGCGCGGCCTATGCTGTGTACAAGCATGCTTAGACGATTGTCCCTGCAGCGTGAATGCCTTTCTAAACGCTTGGAAACGTCGCTATGAATGGGAATGGTACGCATGTATCGGCGTGTTGGAGGTAAGATACTTGTCCGTAGTCATACGCAGGCCGCGTAAGCTTCTCGCACAACGACAGCCGATCCAGTTCAGAGCCACTCGCCCGATCCTCCATTGTTCAGCGGATCATGCACGACACTCTCGTGTTGGGGTACGTCTGAGCTTATCCCGGGGTGACCCGCCGGCTTGAGATACGGGTACGGCAAATAGGTCGGCCCGTGCTTAAGTACGTTCTGACGAAGAAACGGTGGCTATGTCTCGGACCCGCACGGCGAGCGAAAGGGGTGCTCACAGGATGACATTTCAGGCGCGAGGCGCACCCGTGCCGCCCGCGGTTAGCGTGGTGATGAGCGCGCGTTTTGCGCGGCGGCCCACGACCTACGAATATGCGCTTCAACAATGTTGCACAGGGCATCCGCGGTGTATGCATTTCGCCAGATCTTAGCCAGTACGGTGGCGTAAGACGAGCCCTTCAGTGTAAGGAAGTGCAGGACCGGCATGGGGGCCACAGGGGGCCACCCCGCGAACTCGTAGATTCCGACATGAAGTGGCGAGCTGTCAATAGATCTACAGTGCATGAGTCGCCCTGTCGATCACCGCGGCACTACTATGCTGTTGGCTTTTGAGAGGGGTACCTTTCGGTCATGTTCCGAACCTGATCTGACCTCCTGTACCTCGAACTTATCCTCAGAGATTCGCCTTCTGGGAGAGGGACTGTGCATGCGGACAATATTAGGACTCGGTCGTATGGACAGGTGTGCGCAAAGAACGAAAGACTATTGTTGGTGCAGAGATGAAAGGGATAGGCGGTGGGTGCAAGAATACAACAGCGATATGATAGTCCCAAAGGAGTGTGGTAGTCCGATGACTTGGAGGTTGGTATATGATTAGTATGGGTTGTTGATCGACGCGTCAGTGTCATAGGCAAGCGCAGCCTGACGGTAGGTGTCGTCTGCGATCTTGAGCGGAACGTCGCCGTCTAGGAACTCGAGAATCTTCGGGCTGCCAGGGCTGTACTTCGGCCAGTTGAGAGGGCTGCGAGACTTATTGCTACCCTGGTTCGGGTCGTGGTTGGTAACGAAGCGCACTATCGCAGCGGACGCTCATCAGCATAGCACGAAAGCGTAACGCGGTTCAAACATACCAAGGAAGTCCGTCATATCACCGGGACCGTAGACGTTGAGCAGGTCGGATGCATGGTAGGAGCCGAAGTCGTCGAGCTCCTTGAACCGTTTGCTCACTAGATATGATAGTCAGTTGACTGAGGCGATGGACAGAAAAATATCTACGCACGGAATACCCAAGTATCTTGTCCGTTTGCAATCTTCTGCACGAAGTAGCGGCGCGGTGCAGTGAAAACCAAGTCTCCCGTAAGGGCGGCTAGGCGCTTCCACTCGGGAGTGACAGCGTTAGCGCTGCCGGTGTCGAACGGTGCACCCGCAGCGGGATCGCTAGGGTAGAGCTCCATCAGGGTCGCAACAGCCGTCTGGTTGCTCGGGAAGAGCGAGCTCAAGTAGTACGCGACGAGCTCGTCCGTGGTGATAGCGCTTGCGCCAAGGATGAAAAGGGTACCTTCGTCGTCGACATTGCCTGAGACGATAGGGATCTTCGCGACGGAGCCGGAAGCCACGAGTGACTCGGGGTTCGCCGTGAAGAACTTGCCATCCTCACGAGGGACCCAGTCGAGGGTAGCGCTGGGAGCATTGTTCATCGCGCTCTGAATCTCCGTGGTCGACAGAGTACGCAAACAGTCGAAGACATTCGTGTCATCCGTGCAGTTCGTAGAGCTGAGATACGCGTCCCAAAACTCCTGGCCTACCCTACGCATCAATACGGAGAAGTTCACCTATGCGTGACCGTATGCGTACCATTCTCAATGGGTCCGGTCGGAACGGGCGCGCCAGAGTGCATCCAGGCGGCGTGGAAAAGACCTTCGGTGTTTCCGCCATTCGTGAGCATCTGGAGAGAGATCGAGATGGCACCGGCGCTCTGCCCCCAACTGCAGTTCGAAACAGAGTCAGTACGTGATGGACTGATGAGAGACAGGGAGCGTACAGTGTGACCCTGCCACTGTCGCCGCCGAAGGCGCCAATGTACTTCTGAACCCAGCGTAATGCCTGCCTCTGGTCCTGAAGACCAAGGTTCCCGACTCCAGCTGCCCGAGCTTCGCTACCTTGCGGGAAACCAAGGGCACCAGTACTAGTCAAGTCAGTAACGCTGGGCGCCAGAAAAGGCGGTGTACGTACCGGTAGTTCAGTGAAACGTAAATCACAGGCATGTCAAGCTCGATTGAGCGCTCGACGATGGTGCTGCCGTTCTGTCTGCGAAATCGTGAGTCCAATGAGATCTGGCACCGCAATCACTCTACTCACGTCGAACTAGCTCCACCAGTAAATCCGCCTTCACGAGAATCAGTATACAGTGGCGCGATACACTCGTTAGCAACTGACCGCCATAAATCCACTATTGGCATGATCAATTATAGTATGAGAACGACCAGGGATGTGCACATACGACAACCACGGGAAGTTTCTGGCCAGCCTTGACAGTCGCGGGAGTGACAACGTTCACGGTCAGACCTTAGACACAGTTAGCATCCAATCGCATTGAACCAAAACCGACGCTTTACAATCTTCAGCAGGGGTGGTCATGTTGGCCGAGTTCTGCTCATACGACGAAAGGAATAGCAGAGCCTCCGTGGTAAGGTTGGAGGGCAAGGATGTCGCCGTCGTGGATGTTTGCTGAAGGCAGGAGGCCCCATATGCCGAAGCGTCGTACGTTCCCTTGTAGGCACTGTTCTGCTGAGGCAAGCGATAACGCAAATCGCCGGTTCTACAACGCGTGAGTCAAGTATTCAACCAGTGGCCAAGCGCACAC